AAATAAAACATTTTCCAATTTATTTGCTCCTGTTACCAATTGTTTACAATCAATTTGTTGTTCAGAAATATTTTTAACTATGAACTCGCCGCACACATGACAGAACAAAAACGTAAACATATGCTATATAATTACACGCAAAGTGCTGGGGGCTGCCTGGCAGGGCGCCTCCTGCATTGAAAATGCAAATAAATGCACTTTTCATATAAAATTAACAATTTTGTGAGAAGCCTAGAGCAGAGGAGAAGAGGGACCACGAATTGGGTAATAAATGTTTTCATAAAAACATCAGAAAGAGGCGGTTATAAGCCCAAGCCTTGCCTTAATGGCCAGAAGATACTTAAATCGATCAAAATATATTAATGTCCTGGATAATGCGATTCATAAATATAGGTTTAACTTTAGAAAGTCAAATTAAATCCAGCATATTCCACATGAATAGAATAGAAATATAATATGAGCTTAAATGCTATTTGCATAATAATTTAAAATTATGATATACTTTTGCTATTTTGCTCATATTTTTACATTTAAATTTCAATTTAATTTGATTACCCATTTTTCTCCAGTCATTTGGTATATATTTTTCTCAATGAGTTTTCTGCGCACAACCATTTTGTGCTGCACAAAAGACAAAACCGCAACAATTTACAATAATTTACATATAATTAAAAAATGAAATAAAACGAACGAAAACCACCGACAGGCAACGAACCATTTTCAGACAATTAACTTAAAAATGACTCTCGCTCTTTCAGGCGGGTCGTTAAAAGGCCAAAATGCTCTCGGTTCTCACAGCTCAGTCCCATGGAATCTTTACTTAAAGCATTATTAGTGGCGTTCCAATGAAATATAATAAATCAAATTAAAATGTGAAACATTTATGCCGTCGTATTAAACTTGAAATAAAAAAACATAAAATGTTGAAAATTTGCGAAATGCCTTTGCTCTGATATTTTCATTTATTTATGCAATAACAGCAACAACGGAAAACAATCAACTGACCAAATTCATACTGGTTGGCCAAAAATTTTAAAACAAACATAACATGGTGAAAATATTTACATATGAACTTTCATTTGGCTTACAGTTTCGTTGTTGTTTTCCCAGTTGCTCATGAATAATATGTTTGCTAGTTACGAGAGCTGCTGGAGAGCGCTTTAAAAAGGTCCTTCAGCCAGTATTTGAATGCTGGAATCCCTCTGCAGGAGGAGCTGGACACATAATTAGTGTCAATCTCAGGATTCCTGTACCAGTGTGCGCCCTCTACTATCCCCTTCCTCGTCGGATCCTTTTACTCCTGGCATATGTTCCATCTCCCAAGACTGTGCCCACTTAAGTATGCAGCACAAAATTCTCGTACGCTGCATGCGTACCAAAAATACCAAAAGCAAGGCATCTTGTTTGCGATGGTGTCTCGGCATTAGTGTGCGTGTGGCCGCCACAGTGCTTGTCTTTTGTGTCTGTGCTATTTACTTAGCCAAAACGTGCGTAAAGTTTTAATTATAAACTTTTTTCTGGCACTGCTTTTGGCGCAAGTCCGCCTGCGGGCTTAAATGCCTTCTCAAACTTCCAACCCGGAGCCGGTGCTTAACGACACTTTAAAAGGGGCAATATATGAGATTTATGTGTAGGTGGAGACATCTGGTCTAGTAACTAAATTAAGATTAATTAAATGATTTATGTGCACATTTTTCAGCAGCCTCTGGTCAATATGCTAAAGTTTAAATTCACCGAATACAAACATTCGGAATCGTTTTTGTTTACATTCTGCCTGGCAAAACCTTTTTGTATAATTGCAAACTTTTCTAGGCAATGGAGGAAATCAATTTCATTTGCTGATGGGCAAAAAAGAAATTAATTTGATTTCTATGTGTGTTTATATCGATGGTGAAGAGTGCAAATCAGATAGAATATGGAACATGAAGGGTCATAGGAAGCCAACATAAATGTGGACTGACAGCAAATAATGGGATTGACAGCATTGAAAGCTTTAAATAAAAATTGATTTTTATTTCGCTTTTAATTTGTGATTATTTATGAATTGTTGAAAGTTTTTTGATTGGAGTGTACATGAGTTATTCCACTCAGTTTAATTAGTTCCGTTTAGGAGCTGATTTACAGTCAAGTTTTTGGCAGAACATAATCTTTGATTATTCAAATTAGCCTCTAGTCTGTCTTTCTGGTAAGTATAATGGCTCGGCTTCCTCTGTTTAAAAGAAAACAAAGCATACATTGCTCATTTCTCAGGGAATAGACAAACTCTATTTGAGCGGATAATTGCATAAAGCGCTTTATAATTCAACAAAGGTCTTTTTAATGCACAGTGAATGGTGACTATAGCTGTAAGTAATGTATAGTTGTTGTTTAATGCATAAATATTTGTATAAATAAACTCCAAAGCAACTATGAATTTCGATCACTGTACTTGGGTGCCTTATGCTCTTCGAGAAGCTTACTGGTCCACTTTATGAGAAAACGACTGACTGACTGAATAAGCTAGAGAATGACTGAGCAGTTGTTTGGTTGTGCATTTCAATAAAACATTCAATGCATAACTACAATGGGCATAAGTTATGTATGCATCGCTGCTGAAGCGCCAGCGGGAGGCAGTGGCTGAGTTCACTTGACTCGCACTAATTCCCCCACAAGGATAATCCTGTTGTTGAGCCTGATGCCAGGATATGGATGCTGCCGATATGGCATCCTCATTGATTGACTGAGTCGGACGAAATCCATTCTGTCTGTCTGAATGAAAGGGCTTCGTAGACTACGAACACACACTTATCCATAGCCACTCCTTCGGCACATCGTCCGCTGCATCTTTGAACTACATATATTTCTGCGGACAAGTGGCCGGGAATTTAGCTTTTGTTGAGCTCGGTATTTAATAATATAAATTAAAATAATATTCTCAGAGCTCCCTTCTGCACTTTAAGTTTTGCTATTTAAATAAATATAAGCAAAAAATGAGCAATGGTAGGAAAAAGATTATCTCGGCCCAAAACTTCCGGCCCGGGAAATGGCGGACATTGAACTTCTCAGCACGCTGGCCAAGGAAATGCTTAAAAACTGTAAAAATAACAAGAAGGCAGACGGAAGAAAGAAGAAAAAACATCCACACGTAACATTAAACTTCACAGTCAAAACATATTCGGCTTTCTTTAAAGCCACACCACAGCGCAAATCAAATGGGGGCGCACGCGCCTGCAAGTATGCAATGCTGTAATACGAGAATAGCACGCGATGGAGATGATTTCGGTATATAGGGGGGTACTGGGTGCAATGGGTTATGGGGCTGAATGGATCCATGCAGCAGGCAAAGCCTGCTAAGGCGCTTGGCTGTTTATGAAGAACGGAAGCGCTTTAATTTAATGTTGCCGCAAGATAAGGAGCTATCCAGTGCACTGCTGGGGTAATATCTAAAGTGCGGGTACTGTAATTGCTTAGATACGTAGATCGGTTCTGTTCTAACCAGCCAAAAACTGAGGTTTAGTTACATTTAAGGTGGGTCCAGTAAAGATTTCTATAGTTAACAAATTGTCTTGATAATAAGAGAAACTCGACTGAATAAATCTGTATCTGTATGGAGGCAGATACTCGGTTCCGAAAAATGCTAGTGTTCCTATGTCTGTGTTCCCAGAAGCCCATTTGCCTTAAGGCCACAGCTTTTTTGAAGATATCTATTGGGACTATGAGCGGAGTAAGTTTATAGAAATTTAAAAAAAAACAACTTTATTTTATACATATAGTTTCTTTTCAGTTTCTTCAAGTATCGTATAAATTCTTTTGTGCCATTCGAAGTATGTATCAATAAATGGTATCAAATAGCTTATATTATTCGTAAATGTATAATCATATATTTTGGTAGAAATAAATAAAGATAGAATGCGTGAGAATGCATACATCAATGATGTCTGCAGACAAGAGCAGTTGTTTTAAAAGCCTAATCTATGGCTGACTTAAGGTCTTACACAACTTTTTAGAAGTAGTGCCTCAGAGGTTTGGCTTCTTTAAACCGGAGCCGTGGCAATGTGGTTGTAATCAACTCAATTAGCTATTGTATAAGCATTTTCCACAAACCCCGCCGCCATCGCCACCAAAACCGAAGCAAACACAAAACTCAATTAGATGCCATAACTAAATAATCACAAACACATTTGCGCAAACAAGGGCTCCTCCGGCTGAAGCCTGCTCGGCGACCAAGAAAGGTTGCTGAGTAAGCTGGAAAAAATAGAGAACCGGGTCAACACAACAACACAGGAGCAACACAGGAGCAACAATTTTGAAACAATGAAATGACGACAACGGCAGGAGCGACAGGGCATGCCTGGAAAATTGCTCGAAATGCTCAGAAGCCAGAAAGGCAAGAGTCGGGAAAAGGCGTTCGGAAAGATGGAAATGCAGGCAGGGGCGGGAAATAGAGGGATTCGGTGGGCCGAGGGGGGAATTCCAACATGTGACGCACGTGACAAAACTTGTCAAATGACTTTACTTCACTTTGACTGCGAATCCCGGTTCTGGTGTCCGTAAACGAGAAGACGGAATCCCGGCCCGGACGAAGGATATGTTTGTGTATATTGCCCCCCCCATGAAATGCTTAAGAAAACTCGACTTTCTCTCGGTAAAACAATGAAAAGGAGGCGAAAAGGAAAAGTCAGCGGCGGGAGTTTTCCAACTTGTTGCGCCCTGGGCTAAATTATGACATCAGGGAGTTTCGGGGAGAGCGACCGGGGATTCCCCAAGCGGCGGAATAAAGCATTTGAAGCCGAGCAATGAAGTGGAATTCTATGGGACTCGCAGATAGCTAGGAGCTCCCTTAAGTATTCCCCGAAGATAAGACTACAATAAATAAAAATTTACGCACTGCTGGCATTATCTTTGTTCAATATTTCACTTTTAAAGAAGTTACTTAAACTGTTTATGAATGGTTTTTCGTTTGTAAGGATCAAAATTAACGCATCAAGAGTGCCTTGCAAATCGACCAGAGAAGGCTTTGGAATCCAAGTCAGCAAGCTCATGTCATGGAGTCCATGGAGCCTGAAAACATTTTTCATTCTCGTCTCTGTTCTCTAACGACAAACATCTCTTCCAACGAAAACCAAATTTTTTGGGGCTGAAATCCCATTTCCGTAAACAGGCAAATAATGTAAGTGTGAATAAAACGTACAGTGAAATATTATTTGTGAGTAAGAATTGGGTTTCAGAGCAAGATGTGCAACCCCGGAATGGGCTCGATGTCTGGTACCTGCTGCGGACCGACTGGCGGACTCGGACCCTGCTTGCTGTGCGGTCCCTACAACGGCCAGTGGTTCAAGTCCATCAACCACTGCTGCGGTCCCTGCGGGCCCTATGGCTGCTGTTCCTGCTACGGGCCATCCGGCGGACACTGTTAGCTGGAACGAAGGATTTTTTCACCTCTTGTACTACTGGGTGTCCCACATTATAGCCAGTGCAGCGATGAAAGAGATGACTGGGCCGAGGTGGAGCCAAGAAATTTGTGTTTTCCAGAAATTGTTGGGGACAGAGCTCAATGGAATCTGTAATTTAGATCCAAAAGTTAATAAATTCCACGTATACTTTTAAAATAAAGGATCAACTATCAAACTAATATATGTTTCAGATTAAAAAACATTCACGCAGTGAATAGCAATTCCTTCAATTACTCAATTACTTTAATACAAATTCCTATAATTACAAATCGAACTCCGTCGTCCAAATTTAAGTGTTCAGGCTGGAATGTTTTCTGGTTTGGCCTGTAGTCTAGTGGGTGCATTTAGGGCTAAAAACCGATTTGTTTGTAAATATTTGGCTCGTTTACAGCTAACGACTCACCAGGGAGCAACCAAACAGTCGTGTAATGCTAATGGGCCTGTTGAGCGCAAATTTGTTAACGAGAAAACCAGGAGTGACTGCTATATTCTTTATTGCGTCATTGCTCGTTAAAGGCGGCTAAACAACCATTGATCTCCGTAAATTTGAACAGCAGAAATGTTGAACGAATTGTGGCTGGGAACCAGGAGGTTACTTGGGGTGCTTAAGCGACTTGGAGCCGCTAAGACTGGGAAAGTACTCCGAGCTCTTGAGATCTGGGGCTTGGGGCTTTCCCATGGACATGGCCGACGGCAGCTTGCGGGGGCCCGTCTCCACCTGGGGTCGCTGGTGGAGGTCGCCCTGGCTCTGGCGCAGAGCAGGCGGAATGTAGACCTTCTTCGATGGGTTCTTCTTCTCCGGCTGCTGCTCGGACTTCTGCTCCTGCTGTGGCTGTGTCTTGACCATGTTCTGCCAGGGACAAGAGGCAGAACCCATAACCTCGTCCAGACGCTTGCCTTGGCCCACATCTAAGCCATCCCCGGCAGACTCTCGCTGCTCCGGCTCTAAAACTTTGACCTCGGCCGCCGGAGCCAGAAGGGTGCCGCTCATAGTCTTCCAGGTGATACGGGGTACACTAGTGTAATTGAAGCGATTTTCCTCGGTGTAATCCGACCACTCGTCCTCATCCTCGGCTGTTGCGTCCGAGAACTGAAGCCCGAACTCCAGCGGCTTGGCGACTAATGGTCCTGCCGATCCCGTTGGACCCTCCATCAAGTTGTTGTTGTCGTTGTCTAGTCCTTTGCTTGGATCGCTGCCAGCCTCGACAGGCTGGTGGATGGATTCCTCCAGCGTTTTGTACAGCTCATCGGTGGCCAAGTAATTTGGTTTTTTTTTTTAGACTTTTTATTGTCCTTCTTGGCGAAGAAGTCATCAAGAGTGGACATTTTCAAATATTTATTTCTGCTCAGTTTGTGCGGGGACAAAATCAATTTCGAAATGGCAAGAGGTGAGCTCAGGAAGTTTAAAAGGAAGCCTACTAGATGCTCGAAAATTTTGTGTTCATTTTCCATGGCCTATCCTATTTTTTACAGGATTAATTTTAGAAATACCGAATTTACAAACACTTTTCTGCACATAAGGATTTTCTGTGGTGAACACAAGAATTTGAAGTTAAGGCCTGCCTTCGAAGCCAGCTTTTTGTGGCATAACCAAAGCCCTATATACATACATATATATAATCGGGACACGCAAAAGTTAGTTGCATTCAAAAGGCTTAATAACATAATTTTTGCCAGTTTGTTGGGTGGATGGATGGACTGTGGCACTGCGTGGGAGGACTGTGTGCCCTGCCATTCGCTATCTGCCGGCATATGCCACTAATTAGAATTAATGCCCTGGCCACGCCCCGCACCGCCTCCGTGCAGCTGGAGTGGTGGGAGTGGAGAGGACCTTTTTATGCCACTGTGCCGTGGCTCGAGTAGTCACATATGTTCATTATGCTTGCTCGCCGACAAGTGGAGGCGACGGTCCTCCTACGATCCTCGACGTCTGCTTGAGTAATTACCAGAGACCAGAAACAGAATCAGAATCAGGAGCTGAAACAGAGGCAGTGGCAGCTGAAACGCAACGTGAATGCGGTGGCAGGATGCAAGTGCAGGTCGTCCTTGTCGCCATGGCAAAAGCTTTTTATGAAATGACGATGACATAAAACAAATGTGCTGGCCAAACGAGAGCGAACACCACCCCCACATCTGGGAGAGAGCAACAACAACGACCAGCCATGAACATGTCTCTACTTAAATTTATTATTTAATTAGTGCGACCAGTTGAATGTAGGTGTGCGTGGGGTATGGTGTGTGGCTGTGCGACAGGCATCAAAAATGTGGTGGAAAATGTAAGGGAAAATTTTAATAATAGTACAAGGAAAGGCAAATAAATTCTGTAAGTTTTACTAATTTATATATTAAAGATTTGTTTTGACTAAAGAATCTAGTAAACTAATATTTAAGATAAAGTGTAATGAGTAATTGTAATAATTAATAAACTTAAATTCTAGACAAAAAACACTTGTAAATTTTCTTTTTGATTCTTTAGAGTTGGGGATTCCCATTCGATTTCCAAACCAGCCTCGAGGATGAACCTTAATTTGCTTACACATTTAATCAGCTTCTTCGCACCTGCAATTGTCAGTCCCTAATTAATTATAATTCAATTAACACCAGACGCCAATTAAAAGATGAAAGGCAAATCGAAGCTTGGTCGAAAATCTAAGGCCCAGAAAAAAGTTGAGGCAAGGTTAAGAGGGTATACTTTTTCCCAGTTTTTAATTAAAAATTTGAATTGCCCTGAAGGCGAGAAAGGCCTCACATCAAAGAAATACTTCTGTTTACATTTAAGGTGCACTTATTTATGATCAGAGGTAAATACTTCATAGCACATGACTCACACAAAACGGAGAAGAAAAGAAAGACTTTAGCAGGAGCCTGCACAAAAGTTGAGGGAGCGCGTAGTGAAAACTATCAGAGGAAAGCCCCAGACCAGGGCCATCAAAAAAGCATGACAAGTCAGACGGAACAACACAAACAGAGACAGGGTGGCTTTTCCAAACGCGTGGTGCATTTTCCCAGTTTCCCGGAGAGGGGGGAGGTAATCAACCCTGAACCGGAAACGAGACTGCTAAAAATATTGGCGCCACTTTGGCGGGACGTCTGGCCAGAGAGTTGGCGACGTCTGCGGCTCATCTCAACGCCCCTGTTATTGTTATTGATTTGGGCGAGTGTGTGTGCGGAAGCATAGAGTCCTTGAATGGGGATTCATCCACCAGGATGCATAATTCGGGAACACCCTTGCGTGGCGTTGATGACATCATCATGGCCATCAGCGGCAGTGGCAGCCTCAGAGGAAGACACTTTTCAGTTTCGAACTTCTCGATTCTGGCTTTTATTTTATTATTCTCCCACTGCGCCCTCGCTGTAGTACTTTGTAAGCTTATATGGGCATTATATTTAATGCTTATTATGCGACTCGATTACTTTAAAGCTCTTTATCGCCCCCGGCCGCAGTCGGGTTACAATTTTTTTTTACTGACTCATTTACTGGGCAGCCGCAGACCGACAATTTGTACCAGCCACTGACGCACACAACCGACTTACATCGACCGTTAAAGCAAAGTGTTACAACACATATTTAAATTATAGACTTTTCCGCCTCACGCACGTCCTGCCGTCCTTCACACATGCACGCGCTTTTCCTGCCTGGGCGCCATGAAAATTGTTTGTCAAATTACAAAGTTCTTTGGGGATACTTGGCAACACGTTTTCCGCAACAAACTGCCAAAAGATGGCAAGAGGACATACATATATTAATATTGCCACTATTTCTGTTTGGAGTTTCTCAACAGAAATTAACTCAAAGCTAACTTTATTTAAACTATAGACTTTATATTTAGTACATAGTTTCAGTTGCCCCAAGTAAGTAATGGCTGGATCAGAGATTTTCATTGCTATTTTTTCCAGCAAACTCATATTTTTACTTACTTAATATATATACATTTTATATATAAACACAAATTCAATTGCCTAGCCAAAGTTCAGCAGCCATTTCATATTTTTTCCGTGGAATTTCCCGGAATGCAAAAGCATGCTCACATTGATGAACTAAAATGGTTGTATTGCCTTTATCCAATTTTCTTGTTTGCCTTCATTTTATTTGATTTAATCAATGTGCATCGGCATTTCCCGGCACACATTTTCCTCGCTGCCGCTGCCACTGCCACTTCCCTCCTCTCCCTTGGCCCCACCATTTTCTTTGGCTTTCCTCTTTCTCTTTAACGGTTTATTTATTTGTATTTGACTTTCGCTGCGTGGGCGTAAAATGACGCGAAGGAAGCCCGAAAGGCAAATACAATTACAGTGAGTGCTCCAGCTCCTGCGGCTCCTTCTGCTCCCTCCGCACCCTTCACTCCTTCCGACCTTCCCGTCGTCTATTGGCCAAAAGCACAGATAAAAGCAAATACCTAGGCAAACAAATCATTTGGAAAATATTTTAGCGCACAAATCACAAATCGAGGTGCAAAAATTATTTACGAATATTATTTGGCAAACCCAGAGCGTCAAACGAGGCGTCGAAGAGGAGCAAAGTGCACAGAGACGTTCGCCGGATGGATAGAGATACATATGTATGTAAAAGGAGCTATAGGTGCCAAAAATAAGAAAATGGAAAGTCAGCACCGAGACGTGAAAAGCGTGAAAAGTGCAAATATTGCCGCTGCCCCAATATTTGTACAGTGTTGTATTCTTTTTTTCGTTTGATTCCATTTTGTTGATGAGTGTAAGCTTCAATGATTTTAAGCCAGGACCATGGAGTTGTTGACTGACTGATTCAATAGGAAGTCGGTCTATAAGTGGCTTGAATGGCAGTCGGCAGTCTGGAGTGAGGACTTGAGTCCCCGGAGAATAATCTAACTGTGTCTGTGGCCAACTCAAGATTAAAGGCAGTTTGAAATAGTACTTGGAGAAATCTATAAAATCTATACTAGGAATATATCTATATAAATACCCGTTTTGCTCTGAGCAATCCTTGCCTTATTATGAGTTACAAAGTACAAACATAATTACCCGAGTTACCCCTAAGCACAATAACAGCGCGTCCAAATATTTCATGGAAACATGTACGCTAATATATACAAACAGCCAAATCCCAGCCAAAAGAGCAAAAAGTTGGGTAGTCACTTGCACTTCCGCTTACAAGTGGAGCCTCCGGGAGTGGCGCTGGCGGTGGTGGTGGCACAGATTATTAAAATAAAACAAATAAATACGCCAGGGAGTGGCGCTGGCTGGCAAAAGTCTTGTGCAAGGGAAATATTTGTATTTATGGCAAAAAGTTGTGTATAAGTATATGTGGCGTAAAATACGCGAGTCTAACAATGCTCTCGACAAGTTTTGCGGGATTTTTGTGAAATGCAAAAGGATTCTTCTGCGCACGAGTTCCACATACTTGAATAATGTTTTCACAGCCCCGGCACAATGATTTTTCTTCAGCGGAATATTTGCTGTTTGCTTTACATTAGGAATGATAATTAAGTGTGCCCCACGCGTATGGTTGTGGCGTGACCCAAGTTCTCTGAAAGGGGCAACTGCTTGTTTAACATGTGCAATGTTTACCTGGGCCTGGAAGGGTTGAAGAGCCACGGGTAAAGAAAACTAATCAGCCAGGATTTTTCCAATATAAAGAGGTTTTGAAATAACAAAGAGAGGGGGTTATTTTTGTGAATAGTAGGATTAGTCATCCAAAAGAAATTCCCTATTTGCTATAGTCTTTTGCAAAAGAAGTCAAGATATCACTTATAAGAATTACTAGTAGAAAAAGCTTATATTATACTTCATAGCGGTTCTTATTGAGACTCACATCGAATATCGATTGGACGTTTTGTGCCTTTGAACTGAACTTAGCCTTGTGACCCCAACAACCGGCTTTATCAAAGCACGGGCATCTTTCAGTTCGGTCAATTAAAGGACAATTAGGAGGTCCACTTGAATCACCGGAGTCGGAGCTCATTCTCACTTGGAAGCCCGAAAGTGCGCCGGTTCCCAATCTCGCTTCATCAGCCAAATTGCCGACTAACCCAAATGAAGGCCCTAATTCGGTGACCTTTGTGAGTGGTGGATTTTCAGTTGGAATTCCGCAGCTCCCCGACCTGCTGCACTTTTCGGCTGCAACATTCCCCGCAATCGAACATTAATTGTGAGAGGAGGTCGGCCCTTTTGCAATTTTCACTGGCTGAGCCGGCGAATGCATCATTTGGATAATCAGCTATCCTCGCTGCAAGAACTCGGTTTGCTTTGTTCGATGTGAGTTCGAGGGTGAGTCAGCAGCGAGCAGCACACTAAAACTTGTCCGACTGCGGGAAATTTATGATGTTTTCATAGTTCTTTCTTTTGCGCCCCCCCCACACACATGGCTGTGGGAAATTGTCGATCCTGCATATTTGAGTTTTTATCCTGCGGTTTATATCATTCGCAAAACGACAGC